TATGACATCAAATTAAAACTTGAATGTATACCAAGAAGAGAAAAAGCACTTGAAATGGCATAAGGAAGAAAAATATAATTTTTTATTTCTGATTGCTCTAAAAGATAATTAAAATAAGTATAGCAAGGTGGCAGGAAACAAGGTTAATATACAATGGCCCATTGCTTTTCTACAGTGTATACCAGCAATGAACAAGTAGAAACTGAAATGTAAAAACACATTACTGTTTACATTAGAAGCCCCCCACCAAAATTAAATACTAAGGTATAAATCAAACAAAAATGTTCAATGTTTATATGATGAAAACTATAAAACCAAGAAAACTACAAAATCTTGATGAAAGATGTCAAAGAACTAACCACTTGCCAGTCCAATTATTTAACTATAGGATGACCAAAACTTGCATATTTTTCATTAATTTTATAATATAATATTGTAGGAAAAAAGATAACTTTATCAAAGTTATTCAATGCAAGAATTGACTGGTTGAAATTGCACTTACCCAAGTGGTGCCCAGGATAGTCACTACATGAACAAACACACTACCAGAATGACACTCAGAGTAAACCATTAAGTTAAATAAATGGAGAGATTTTCCATCTTCAGAGGTAAGAGGACACAACATTGTCAAGGTGCCAGCTCTTCTGCCTTCATCTATAAAGTCAATGCAGCCCCAGTTAAAATCTCAGCAAGTTATTTTGTGGATATCAAAATGAATTGATTCTAGGGCTTATAGACAGAGGCAAAAAACTCAGAATAGACAACTCAGTATCAAAGAACAAAATCAGAGGACTGACAGCACCCAGCTTCAGGGCCACAGTAATCAAGACAGTGTGGTATTGATGGAAAAATAAACAATAGATCAGTGGAGCACAGTAGAAGGCCCAGAAATAGATCCCAGATAAATATAGTCAACAACCGGGCACGGTGGTGCATGCTCATAATCTCAGCACTTTGGGAGGCTGAGGCAAGAGAATCACAGGTTCATGCCCAGGCTGGACAATTTAGCAATTTAGCAAGACCTTGTATCAAAATAAAAAATTAAAAAGTCTGAAGATGTAGCTCAGCATGAAGGCCCTGTGTTCAAGTTTCAATCTCCAGGAAACACACACACACACACAGAGGAGAGAGAGAGAGAGAGAGAGAGAGAGAACTGAGATTTAAAGGCAAATACAAAAAAGATACTTTTTTCAATCTGTTTTCAATAAGTGCTGTTCGAACACACATCTGGCAAAATGAGTCTAGACATAGACCATACCTTTCACAAAAATTAACTCAAAGTGGACCACAAACCTAGATGTAAAATGCAAAACTAGCCTGATGTGGTGGCATGTACCTATAACCTCAGCACTTGGGAGGCTGAGGCAGGAGGATTGCCATGAGTTTGAGGCTAGCCTGGGCTACAGAGCAAGTTCAAGACCAGACTGAACTACCTAGCAAGACCCTATCTCAAAAACTAAGGGGGAAAAACAGCCACAAAATACCACTGCCCATCTATTAGAATGGCCAGGATCTCAAACACTAACAAATACCACATGCTGGAGAAGATGTAGAGCAAATGGAACTCTCACTTCTTATTGGTAGGAATGCAGATTGGTACAGCAAGAACTTTAGTGGTTTCTTACAAAAAGTGATCTTACCAAACCAATGTGGCAATCGCATTCATTGGTACTGCCCAAATGAATTAAAAATATTGGTCCATATACACTGTTCACATGCTTATAATAGCTTTAATTCTCATTGGCAAGACTTGGGAACAGCCAAAGTGTTCCTCAGTGGGTGAATGAATGCATTAACTGGTATATCAAAAGCAAGGAAAAAGAAAAGGCCATGTGTGGTGCTGCATACCTGTAATCCCAGCACTCTGGGAGGCTGAGGCAGTGCAATAGCAAGTTTGAGCCCAACCTGGGCAACTTAATAACTTAATGAGGTCCAGTCTCAAAACAAAATATTTATAAAAAGGGCTACAGATGTAGCCCAGTTTGAAGGTCCTGAGTTCGATCCCCAGCACCTTAAAGCAAAGGCAAGGGGCGGGGGGGAAGAAGAGAAAAACAAGAAGAATCACCTATCAGTCACAAAAAGAATGGAGGAATCCTTAACACACATTTCTAATGGAGGAAGCCAACCCGAAAAGGCAAGAGGCTGTCAGGATGAGTGTTTAGGGTAATGAACCCATTCTGTCTGACACCACACAGTGGTGGATGTGTCTTTACACATCTGTTTCGTCCCATGGCGTGTAGACAGCGGTGGGATCCCATGGGAACTGTGGGCTGTGGGTAGAATGTGTCCACGTGGGACACATTTGTCCCTATCAGGGGATGGAGCAGGCTGTAGTGTGTGAGCTGAGAGGAAATATAGAAATTGTTTGCTCTTTCTGTTCAACTTTTCTCTAAACCTAAACCTCTAAAAAACATAGTCTACCACAACGAAATGATTCACACTTGCCATCCTCCCGCCTCAGCCTCCCAGAGCGCTGAGATTATAGTAACAATGAATTGTATATTTATAGCAGGTCTGAAAGCAGAGAGTTGTGTAGCCGTGTGAATGGAGAGAGGAGTGGAATCTGTACTGTCGCAAAGCCCTGACTCTGTACGCAGGACGTGCCCTCCGATTTGAAGGTGCTCTGGGAGCGCTTGAAGAAGTTAACTGGAAGCTCTCCTGCATGGCTGAGGAGCACACACGGTGACACAACCATTTTGGCACATGGATGGGCAGTTTAAAAATAAAACATACGCACATCACCAAAAATGGCAGCGTCAGAAACTCTAAAAATTCATCCCTCTGCTGAAGAAATGGCTACGCTAGCAAAAGATGCCAGGCTCAACACCCTTGGAATTCTGAAATCTAATAAAAACCTTTCAAGAATCAAAGGACTGCTTAATTAAGAAAGAAGCCACTTCATTCTAGCTAAGAGAGTGTTGTGACTTCTTACTTCCTGTCCCTGGCCACCTCCTGACCCACCCAGAGCAGCCTCAGTAAAGGTTTCATCTTCCCCATGTGGTTTGTTGGTACCAGGGGGCAGTAAAGGGCCTGTCCCACACATTTGCAGTGAGCAATTTGGAAATAAAATTAAGAAGATGATTCCACTTGCAATCACATGAAAAAGAATCAAACAGGGATGAGTTTTACAGAGGAGGTGTATGACTTGTACACCGAGAACTATCAAACATGGTTGAAGAAATAAAGACCTTAATAAATAGAAAAACAATCCTTGTTCACAGGTTGTTAAGATGGCAGTACTCCCCAAATTGATCTACACATTCAGTGCAATCCCTATTTTAAAAATTCAACTGCCGTTTTGCAATGAATAGGTACTTACCCTAAAATTCAGATAGAAATGTACTAAACCCTAGACAGCCAAAACAATCTTGATGAAGAAGGACTAAGTTGGTCAGTTCACAAGTTCCTGATTGCAAAAGTTGCTACAAAGCTACAGCCAGGCATAGTGGCACATAGGGCTTGCCTGACAGGTGAGGGTCACTTCCTGGTTTACAGAGGGCCGCCATCTTGCTGTGTCCTCTCTGGTGAAGTCATGAGAATGGGTCCTCCATAGTCGGATGGGATTAGGGTCTTTACAAGAGAGGAAGAGACACCAGAGAATGCATATTTCCTCACTCTTTTGCGCCATCTCTCTCTCTCTCTCTCTCTCTCTCTCTCTCTCTTGTACCCTGTGTGAAGACATAACAAGATGGCTGCCATCCATAACCAGGAAGTGGTCCTCAACAGGAACAGAGCCTGCCGGCACCTTGCTCTTGGACATCTCAACCTTTGAAACTGTGGGAAATAAAAGTCTGTTGTCTAGTCTACCCAACCTGTGGTGTTTTGTTGTGGCCAAAGTAATCGGACCTTGCTTACCACAAGTGTGTGCATTCGTCCAAACTCATCAAACGGCACACTTAAGATCTGTACTATTTTACTAAATTAAATTTTACCTTAAGGAAACATAAAGAAATATTGAATTTTAGTTATAGGTCTGCCCATTACAGTGGTATAAGTTACTCATCCTAAGGCTGTTTTCTTGTTATTCTAGGTTTAAACAAGTGGTGAAAACTGGGAGCCGGATTTCCCACGGCTGGAGAAAGGGATCATGGGAAGAGGAGGTCTAGACGTGCACAAGGCTGCTGAGGTGGACCTGGATGTGTCGGTATGGACCTGGGTGTGTGTGTGTGTGGAAGGAAGAGTATGATGCAGACAAAGTTTAAACAGGTGGGAGGTGTAGGATAAAAGCATTTACAGAGAAGTTCCTGCTACTAGTCCTGCAACTTTTCTGTCCAGTTCAAAATTATTTTAAAATATTTCCAAAAAATGAAAAAGAAAACCTAAATAAAGCAAAGTGAGTTGGCCAAGCCGGCGCACAGGGATCCGAGAGTGGGGGTGTCTTGGCAAGAACCCCTTTGCCACACCGTGCATGCAAGTGTAACCCTTGCACCCCTTCACGGTGGAGGGGGTGCCACGTGGATGCTCCCCTTTGGAAGACGCAGCCGCGCCTGGCAGCAAGAAAAGAGGTCAGGCCGGGAGCCAGGGTACCTGGGCCCGCACTCCACTCCGCTGTGGGCTTCGGGGGAGGAGGAGAGTGGCCCTGTCCGCACCGCGAGGGGGCCAGTCTGTTTTCGCCACTCTAGACCTTGCCAAAGCCAGAATGGCTCTGGCCAGTGTCTCAAAGACCCGAGGTGGCCCCCCGAGGCTTTCCACTTTCCAAGAATTCCTCTCCGCCCGCACTGCCGGCTCTTGGCCTGTCAGCCACTCAGCACTCGGCCCGGCTTGTCCCCACGCCAGCCGCAAGCTTGTGATGTGATTTTCCAGCCCGAGGCATCTCCTTTCCCTTGGAAGCTCCAGTTCTCAGCCCTCCCTGCCCCCAGCCACAGGCAGCGCGGCCTGGGCTCCAACCTGCAGGGCGGATGCACAGACAGAGGTGAGCTCAGGGCCCCCTCCTCCTGTGGCCATCACTCATGCCTCCAGGAATCACCTGCCACCCCATCTGCCCACACCCAACCATCTACCTTGAAATCTCAAGGCTGTCTAGGCAGGCTCCAGCCTCCCTGGGACCCGGAGAACATTCCTCCATTCATCTCACACCTTTTTATGGAGTATTCCGGGTGGGGCTGAGCACACACAGACCCGCAGCTCTTACATCCCAAACACACAGGAATGCATAACTGCGTGGGGAGAGTCCTCTGTAGCCAAGGAGATAGGGGAGGCATTTTCCAGGCTGAAAGAGAAGAGAAAGGAGTGTCAGGAAGAACAGGAAGTACAAAGGTCCTGAGGCCACGTCAAGTTCAATGCTCAGAAAAAGATCAGTGGTTGATAGGGACACGTGGGCAGGGCCTTACGGCCAAAGCAATGATCATGTTTCTCCCAGGAACCATGGAAGGTTTAAGCCCCCAAGTGACATGAGTATATCCGTTTGTGAAGATACCCTGAGTAGAGGACAGTGCTCCCACACCTGGTGGCCAGCCTGCTTGGTGACACTTCTCAGACTGTCGGCGCCATGCCACCCCTCCCCTTATAGGGGGCGTGGCTCGTAGGAGTAGCTTATGCCTCAGTCTCCCTACCAAACACTGCTGTTTATGACCAGTCCTCACCAGCCCACTCTTTAAGTGCTTTCCTGAGATAGAATTCACACACTGTGAAAATTACCATTTAAAATGTGCAATTCGCTGGTCATTAGTGTTCTCACAGATAGCTGTAGCCACTGGCACAGACCATTTTAGAACATCCTCTTCACCTCCAAGACACCTGTAGAGCTGGGTGTGGTGGTCCACACCTATAATCCCAGCACTCTGGGAGGCTGAGGCAGGAGCATCTTGCAAGTGTAAGCCCAGCCTGGGCATCTTAGCAACTTAGTGAGATCCTGTCTCAAAATAAAAGACAAAGGGATGGCAAAGGCCCTAGATTCAATCTGCAGTACCACAAAGAGAAAAGAAATGCTTTAGCCCTTTACGCTCCCCACCCTCAGTCCCCACCAGCTGGAAGCAAACACTCGCTTACCTCCTGCTGCTCTAACAACAGGTGCCCAGCCACACATCACTCGGCGTGGCTCCTACCCAGGGCCTGGATGCTGTCTGCACTGCATGCCCACTCACAGGACTGCAGCACCCAGGACCACCACAAGGGTGCCCTGGAATGCCAGCTCTATGCTCCCCGCAGCTTCCAGGATGGGAAGCTATGCAGCCCCTACCCAGTCTTTGCCGCTGAAAACTCAGTATCCGCCCTCCTACCTGCCCCATGAGCTAGTTTCCAGTGGTGGTGTCAATCCCAAGGACAGAGCCTTGGGCCTCAGCTTGGGGCCCGCTTCTGCTCCTGTCCTGACCTGGGCATCTCTCAGAAACTTGCAACACCATCATCTCAGGTCCCACTCCCAGCATCCACCCTGTTTCCCAGAGGCCCTTGGGACAGAGGCACTGCCCAGGTCAGAAGCACATGGGCCCCGGAGCACCCAGTGGGAGGGGAAAAGATGCTCCCTTCAGTCGGGTGGACCTTCCCTGTTCCACCCCCAGAGGGGGGCACGAGACGCAGGCCTGAGTGAAATACAGAGACGGCGGAGGTGAAAGAAGCCGAGAGACAGACAGACAGGCCCAGAAGTGGAGGTGCTGTCCTCAAGAACGGGGGTTCTTTGGGGTAGAGTACACTCCTGCAATTGGTTTGGGGATGGGCACTGGTCCCCAGCTGGGACAGTTAGTTTCCTCTCAGATCTAAGAGGTCTCTCTGGATTGTTAAATTGCCCACGCTGGGCTCCAACTTGGGACACTCCTGCCTCAGCCTCCCAGAGTGCTGGGATCACAGGAGTACACCGCCAAGCTCAGCTCTCTCCTTATTTTGTGTTGAGAATTTTCCAGATAATGCCTAGGGTTGCCTCAAGCCACTCTTCGCAGCTCCTGGGCTGAACTCAGGGGACAGAAACCAACCAACTCTGGGGCAGTAGAGAGGAGAGCTGAAGGCTGGAGATACAAACCTGGCGACGGGCTCTCCACCCCGGGACCTGGCCACACTCCTGGACTCCCCAGCGACCCAGGCCAGCGAATTCCCTGCTTGCCCTGGGAATGAACTGAGCAGGATCGCCTGTGAGCACTGTTTGCTGAGCGTCCAGAGGAAAGGGTTCTGGCCACTGACCGTACGGTGGGTTGGGGTTCACCAAGGCCCCGTCCAGCCAGCACCCTGGACGGCACTGTCCTCCTATGCCACTCGGCCCTCCCCTGTCTCACTCTGCCGTCTCCCCAGCCAGCCTGTCCGTCACAGCTTCAACGAGCAGGACGCGCTGGGGACAGCACCATGTCTCCCCCATGCTCCGCCAGCCTCGCCAGAACATTTGTGTCCCTGGCACTGATGCGCCCCCCAACGCCCTGCAGGGTTCCTGGAGGACAGACAGCTCTTGGGCTGCTGGACACTGGGACACGCAAACACCCCCTGATGCCTGCAGGCAAGGAAATACCCATGAAGCACTTTATTTATTTTATTTTACTTGACTTTGGTGCTAAGGATTTGAACCCAGGGCCTTGTGCATACTAGGTATGTGCTTTCCCCCTGAGCGACCCCCTCAGCCAGGGACAGCTGGACGCCCTCGTCCCAGCTTGGGAAACGTGACACACACTCCGTGTCCCTCCTGGGGACACCACTTTGCCTGAGCTCACCTTTGCATGACTTCCACCCTTTCCTTTCCCACGTCCCCTGGGAAAATTTCCTGCATAAGTCATACGCACAAAATTGTGCATCCAGGGTCGCCTCTCCAGTGACTATCAGGCTGCCTGTGGTCTCGACTCTACCTTGGGCTTCGCCTGTGTGCAGCCGGCTTCCTCAGGGCAGTGCTGACAACTCACAGGCCCCCCTCAAGCCCTGGAGCCATCGTCTTTTCTGTACCGCACCTGCTTATCCTTGTTCCCTGCCGTGACACCATCCCTGCACTGGAACACAAACCCCAACGCCTGAAACTCAAAGGAGGAGAGGGTTATTCTGGCTCACAGTTTCAGCACATGATCAGCAGCTCCAAGGCAGCAACGGGATGGTGGAGGGGCCTGGCGGAAGACAGCTGCTCTCCCCATGGCAGCCAGGAAGCAGGGAGGGAAGGGAAAGGTAGGGGACAAGAACTCGACCTTCCAGGTCACACTGCTGTGGCCCCCTCCAACCAGGCCCCCCTCTTAACAGCACAAACTTGTCCTTGAGTGAATCCACTGGTAAGTGCGGCACTTTGTGACCCAGTCACCTTCCACGGCTGTGAGATTGGGGGGTACATTTTAATCCAAACTGTACCATTCCCCACCTACCCCATCTCCTGATCCACAGATGTGAAGCCTGTCCTCAGCCACTCTGCTGTGGCTCGGATTTGGTTTGAGTGTGTCTGTCCCCCAAGGGTCCATGTGTTGGATGAGTGGCATTATTGAGAGGTCATGGTACCTTTAAGAGGCAGGACTGGGTGGGAGGTGGTGAGGTCACCGGGAGCCTGCAGCCCTGGGGAGGGTTTAGTGCGGTTCCCAGGGGACTGTGGGGGTTCTGGTGCAAGGCTTGTTATAGAGGGATCTGACCAACTCCTTGGGCTGGAGATGTAGCTCAGTGGTAGAGCACTTGCCCTGCATGTGTGAGACCCTAGGTTCAATCCCCAGAACTGAAAGAGAAAAAGATTGCCCCCTTCCCACACTCTCTGCCTCCCTTGCTCACAGGATGATCTTTTTGTGTCACACACATTGCTGCCATGACGTGACAGAGCCAAGAGGGTTTAAGCAATAGGGTTTCCTGATCTTGGATTTGTACCCTCCAAAACTGTGAGCTGAATGAGCCTCTTTTCTCTATAAAACATCCAGACTCGGGTGTTTTGTTATAGTAACAAAAAAACAGGCTAATCCACACCCTACATCACTCTCCACCTTCAGCCTCCACCCAGTGCATCTCAACTCTTACAGAGTCTGTCTCTCTTCTAGTGCGCGGTGTCCCTCACTCCCTTCTGAGGTGCCTTATTTAAGGAGCACCCAGCCCATCTTGTTTCCACTATAGCTCATGTCCCAATACTGGCTGCAGCCCTCCACCTCCCCTGGGGCTGCCTGTTACCCTCAACATAACAAATTGGTTGCCCTGGGGTTTGAGATCCTCTGGGATCTGAGGTTCCTGCTCTAAGCCTAGTTTTGGCTGGCACAGGGAGAGGGGTGACACACACCACCCCCCTCTGGTATGTCACTCGGGAAGACGTTGTTCCCCCACATCCCAGCCTCTCTCCGCTGTGCCAGACAGCCTTTCCCCTTCATTTTCAAAGACGGATTTTCATAACTCAATTTCGTAGCATTCTCTGGCCCTCGGTCTCACTCTCCGATCACCGCACTCTGTTTACCAGTGGGTGTTTATATTTTGACGGTTTCTAGCCGGCTTCGGGTAATCCAAAGTTTCGATTGCTTTTTGCTTTCAGTGATCAGATGTGTCCTCTTGTGTCCTCTGGCTGTGTCTCCTTGGACGTCCTCTCAGGGGCCTGCATGGCTGGCAGCCGGCTTCCTGGGTAACTTCTTCAAGCCCATCTGGATGTCTTTAGCCTGGGATTGGGGCCGGAAATCACTCCACAGGTCCCCACTGCCACCTCCCCTGCCGGCGCTCCTGCAGGCCATCTGGGCCCTGGGGGACAGTGCTCCTGGGCCTGCGCCCACAGACACGCACGCAGGCCTCCCCCCCTGAGGCCCAGCGGGGTGACTCTCTGGGCACCTGCTTGGGACCATGCACGCCTGGCCCAGCCACCCTGGCACGGCAGGAAGGAGCGGTCGAACCAGAAAGAACCCGACACCCAACCAGAAACAAAAAGTAGCAATAGGACTTGGTGCTTTTTATAGCTTCCAAAGTGTTCTCACATGCACAAGTGGCATTTGTGCCCCATCAAAGGCTGGGAGGCGGTGTGAGTGTGACAATCCCAGTGGCACCATGCCGGCAGCATAGGGCTCAGTTCCAGACCCTTGGCTCTCAGCGCCGAACTCCTTCCGGAACCGAGGTGAAGACACAGGCAGGGGTGCAGGAAGGACCCTGGCTCCGATTGCTGTGAGCAGCCCAAGAGCACCCGGCCTCCCTGGGGCCCAGGGAGGTTGTCTGTGGGGGGCCGGATGGACCGCGAATGGCGAGGAAATGAGACACAGCCCCTCCTCGGGACTTCTCCCTCCTGTCACAAGGGGCCTGTCTCTCCCCATTTCCCCAGCCAGGAACTGAGGTCAGAGATATGACGGAGTCACCCAGGCCTCGGAGGAGAGG